AGTTTTGCAGCTACTGTATATTCTACAATGCCTTCCTGTACAATATGTAGCTGTTGAAAATTTGAAACGTATTCAAATTGGTTTTTTACCCATGCCGCATCCCAGCAGTGGGACGCAATGTCGCCAACGTGTTAAAGAAAATGCACTAATTACTGAGAACGGGCTAGTCTAGACGCTGCACTTGTACATACCATAGGATGGGTTGTTTGTGGGATATTTCAATTCAAGACAACCGCTACCTTGACCTGTGTTGGACAAAGGCATGCATTTTAGGCATTTCGAGTGTACTTGCCCACACTCTGAGGTGTAATCCTATAATGTGAGTAATCGTGCCCAAAAAGATACTAGTACCACACACTTGTCTCTTGTAATCGTGCCTATCTCCTAGTGTCTCCTACTTCTTGTTTTGCAGTATGGCCAAGAAGTGCGTTCCGTACCGTCAGCACCAACCTTTGAACCCCTAACTCGAACTCGTTTTTTTTCTGCCACCCCGGCTTGAGCACGATAGTTGCTTAGGCCAAAACAAAGGAGCTGCACAGGGACGATGCTCCCAGTTATCGGACAGTCCACGACGCTTCAAAGCGGGAGCTTGCAGGAGCTTGCAGGTTCGAAGACAATGTAAGGGCTCGATGTCCACGTGAACTCAGCTTGATGAAGCTGCTGCTCGTGACACTACTGAATATAAAAAATACTTTGCTGATGCTTACGATGATGTGACTTGCATGAAAATCGTTGAAGTTCTGCTCGGGAATAGAAGGTACCCATACGGTTAGCCATCGAGTTAACTTTTTACGAAGGAGCTTCTTGCTTTACTAGTAAAGGGATCCCATTCATCTTGATTCGGCATATAAGAAACTGCTTCCTCGGTCAATCCCCACACACAGCAGCTGGGAGATCCGAAGTGAATCGTCGATCAAATGGAAAAATTTCCGCGCAGTCTGCTTTCAACATGGCGATGTAGCTCGCACCCTCCAAAAAGGTCAAGCGGATTCTCATGCAGTAGGATTGGATTTTCTCTTCCTTTGCACTGGTGAAGCCTAGATTTCCTCAATGAACGAGGAAAGTTTCAACGAAGTTTCACAGTGGACATCAATCTCGAGCCCACATGAGTCAATAGTTCCAAGTCCTGTCGGGGTGATCGAGATGATGTCCAACTTTGAGCCGCACCGGCCTGCATTGTGAACCGATGGCATCCGAACGGTGCTCAAAAGCTGGCAAGAACCCGGCAATAAGAACGCTGCATATTTTTGCTTTTATACAGCTCTCTACAAAACGAAAACCTAATTTTAAAACCTAATGTTTTATTGAAATATTCAGTATTTTCGTATAGAAAGACTGTTTTTCTGTGCCGATGTAATGAGAGCTTTATAAAAACGCCTGAGGGAAACCAAAGCTCTGCTAAACGGCCATTGCCTAGTTCTGACTTGTCCTAATTAGCTCTGCTGCATACTTCGTCAATGAGCACTCGATACAGGCAGAGGCACCTTGGAATTACTGTGAACTTGTGAATTTTGCGGACTTTACGGGAATCCAAAAAAACCTCTAAGTAAACAAACAGTTCAACAGTTGCATGTTTCAAGGAAATAAAACACTTTCAGATGACTGGTGCTAAATACAGTACCGTCCAAGTCACCTCCTTGGCACATATGGCTAATGAGCACGTACTTTTCGCTCCCAGCCCGCGCCAGGTAATTACCGCACGCTTTGCCACTTATTACGCCTGTGCAACATACGGTGCGGAGCGAGGAATCTCTATATATAGGGTGGTCTCGGCTGCTCTCGTTCATTCCTGAACATATACTAAAATTGGAACAATACAGAGAAGATTAGCATGGCCCCTGCGCAAGGATGACACGCAAATTCGTGAAGCGT